GAGGATCGTGCGTGGACGAGGTTCGAGCGTGCCTATTCTATTGACGAAGTGGAAGGTCGGGATAACAAGGACGTGTCGATGTCGAACTGTGGCAATGACGGCGTCAAGGGCGACAACGCCAAAGCAACGCACGAGGACGAGCACACGCGCGACTATCAAGCTCGGCTGCCGTACCTCCATTTCCCTGCGACTCAGGCCCAGCAGAATCTCGCGAGGATCGACCGTAGGACAACGGAACAGACCTCGAGCTTTCCGCGGGACGGATTGTCAAAATGGATGCACGATGCACCGGATCGCGAGTGGTGTGGCGATGAATCGCCGAACGCTGTCGGACGCCCGAACTCCTCTGTCGATCTTACCTTTGTGCACTCACCTTTCCACTCAGCCTCCACGATGGCCCAGGCCGCGCGGCCCGTGGAGCTGAGCGAGTTCGAAGAGGGTGATGCGTCGTTGTTTCTGTCTTTCTTGCGGAATCTACATGGGCCTGAGTAGTGGATCGTAAAATGTGGCTTGGATGAGGAGAGTTTGACTTGCGACTGGGGGAGAGAAGAATATCCCCTTGGGTATGAGCGGATAAGATGGGAAGGAAATGGTTCCTGGATGTGGTGATGACGCAACAGATCGCATGATTAGCTGGGATTATGCGCGAAGTATTTTCATTAATTGGTTGCATTAATGCCTTTACACATGTAGGATTTGGATTTGGCGGCTCTGGGAAGATGGTGTACTGACAGAAAGTAATTGAACCAGACAGGCTGGCCGGGTGCTAGCCAATATGTTAATTCGCTCACTAGCTGAGGACTACATACATACTCGTTTTTTTCGCTAAAGCCAAAGTGTTTGATGTAATGTTTTCGGGATTGCCTTGCTTAATAATGATAGCCAATATTTGCACTCTTGAAATAATTGCGCTTGCTAAGAATTTTCTCTATTGACTGTTGATGGCCAATTCACACGTAGTCTTTCCTTGTGGCCATTCATAAACGATACGCTTCTCGGATGGAGGGTCCTTATGAACTTATTTCTGAAATCATGTGATCTTAATTCCAATTCGAGTTATATAGTAATATGAAATAAATAAATTAAATCTATTATTTTATTATCTCTTCCATCCTTTTTTATTTTTATTTTTATTTCTAATGTATATCTTTTAAATTAATTGTCTATTTATTTATTATATTTATTATATCTTTGAATTTATCTTATATTTCATATTTTATACACATCCATCTTCATATCACATGACTTTAGTGCTGCCTTTTTTATCTTTGTCATAAGAAAAAAAAAAAAAAAAAAAAAAAAAAAAGGATGTTGTAGCTTTGTGGAAAAATATATAGAGAACTACTTTTTGAATATATATATATATTTCTGGAGTTCTATACTTTTTGTATTCGTTGAATGACGTTTTGTGACTGGCTTATCCCAATGTGTTGCAGCGAAAAAAAGTTTCAGGCTGGAAACAATGACGCGCCTTCGTCTTCGCAACAGCCCAACACACCGATGGCTGTTGTCTCTGCGCACAACCCTATTATCTCCCCTCTATGTCTTGACGAACCTCCGTCCCGTCGCCACCGTCTCAACTATCCATTGCTTCCATTGCTCCGCTGCCCTCACTCGCGAACCCGGATCCGCTCTGACCAACCTGCCGCCGCCAGCCATTAGACGACCCAAGGCACTCAAGCGGTTGATGCGGAAGAAGATACCACCCGATCCGCAGATATACGAAGCATTTGCGAGCATGCGAAAAGAAAATGTGGACCCGGAGGTCGTGTGGAAATGGTTCTCCGGGCTAAGAGCTGAGAAGAAAGCAGAACGAGCGCGCGGTGTGAAGACGGTGTTCGATTCCCGGCTACACCGCGAGCTTCTCATGTATTTCACCGCGAAGAAAAAGCCTGAGTACGCACTAGAGGTCTGGGACACGATCTCCTCCCGCCAGTCAAAACTGACCGTTTACGAGTATACCAAGGTTCTGCACTACGCCGGCCATGCTGGCTACGTTCCCCGCGCAACGGAGCTCTTCGACGCCATGCTCAAGCAGGGCGTGAAACCGACCACACTGTCCTTCAATGCGCTAATTGACGTTTACGTGCACGCTAGGCCGCGCGCCAACGTCGCCGCCGAACCGCACGCCAACGTCGCCGCCGCCCTGGGTGCCTACGATCGCATGCTCGCGCTGGGCATCCGTCCGGACATCTACACCTATGGCGCGTTGATGGACATGCTGGCGAAGCGCAAGGATCTCCGCGCCGTGCGACGCATGTACGTCGAGCTCGTCGCGTGCAACATCCGGCCCACGACGCACGTCTTCTCCTCGATCATTGAATGTCTCATAAGAACAGACAACCTCCCGGCTGCCACGGATGTCCTCCATGCTATGCGTCACGAGGGGGTGGAGCCCAACGTAGTGACTTACAACCTCCTTCTTGGCGGATATGCACGGTCTCTTGATACCACGGGTACCTGGGGTCTCTTTTCGTCGATGTCCGACGCCAAAGTTAAGCCAGATTACGTGACGTACCTAACGCTTGTAGCCTTGCACGCGGATCTACGGGACCCGGATGGCGCGCACGCAGTGGCCGCGCGCATGCGGTCAGCGGGCATTCAGCCGGACCAGAAGGTGTATCACGCGCTAATGGACGCCCACGGGCGGGCCGGTGATGCGACGGGGGCAGAACAGGTGCTTGCGGAGATGGAGGCCCGCGGGTGGCGCGCCAACGCGGTGACGTGGACGACGCTGATGCGCGGATATGGTGCGCGTGGAGATATCGAGGGCGTGATGAGGACGTGTGCGAAGATGGAGGTTGGTGGTGAGAGGTTGGACGCACAGATACTAGCCAGTATAACGGACAGTTTGGCAGGGCATGGAATTATGCGTGGGGCGGAAGAGGTATGGAAGGCGATGGTTGCGGGTGGCGTCCGACCGGATGTGGAGTGTTACACGGTGCTGATGCGCGGTTATGTTTGGTGCAGAGATTTGGAGAGGGCGCGGGATGTCATGAGGAGAATGATCGGGGAGGGGCTTATGCCGGACCAGGGGATGTATGTTGTGTTAGTTGAGGCGTGTGTTCGGGCCGGGGAGCATGAGGTTGCGAGGAAGCTAGTGAGGAAAATTGTGGAGGAGGCGGAGGAGGGGAAGAAAGCGGAGTTGGAGGAAGAGGCCTTTGAGAGAAGGGAAGAGGCGAGGATATGGGAGTGGAAATGGAAGCGGCAGGAGAAGGAAGCGTCGGAAAGCAGTGGTGATGTGGACGTCGAAGTGGCGACGACAACGACGCCGGGGATGGTCGAGGGAATCCTGACCCGCGCTTATCTGTCAAGCCCGCAGTCATTTATCCCGTTACGGCGCATCTACATACCGCTCTTCCACGAATATGTGCGGAAGGGAATGGCAATGGAGGCGCGGGATCTCTTAGTCGAAATGTGCAGGTTCGGCATCAAGCCCCTTCCCGAGACATTTGTATCACTGATGGCGCTATACCGCAGAGAGAGGAACGTGGACGCCGTCGAGGCGATTTGGGAGGCACTCGGCGGGCCGCCCTGCTCGGAGAACAATGTATCGAGCAGCGACCCGGGCTCGGTTTCTGACAAGCTTCTCGTACCGCACGATCCGATCCTCTCCGGGATCATCCCGCACCCATCCCTTCAACGCTGCGGTTCCGCTGGCCCCTCCACTTCGGCGCTCTCGGTTCTAATCGATTCGCTCTCTGGCGCGAGTCGGACGAGCGACCTGCACCGCGTGTGGAAGCGGCTCGAGCAGACGGGGTACGTGTTTAGCGTAAACAACTGGAACCGGCTTGCGGTGGCGATGGTGGTTGAGGGGCATTTTTTGGATGCGTGCGCGGTGGTGAGCAGACGGTTGCTTAGCGATCCCGTTCCCGATCCCGAATCCGCGGAGCCGGAAAAGGAAATGGTGGTGGTGCGCGGGACGCCTGGTAGGTACGCGCCGTTTCCGCATCAACGAACGATGACGGCGCTGGCGATGGTGCTGATGAGGATGAGACGGAGGGATGCCGGGAGCTATTGGGGAAGGATAATGAAGGAGATTGAGACAAGGTTCCCAAACGTGGTGCAAGCGGTCGAAAGCGGGGAGCTGATGCAGTTCGAGAGGGGGGTAGGGGCGAATGTGATCGATGAGCTTGTGGAAAAGATGTGGGAGGGGGCGAAGAGAGGTGAGGGAAGGCACGTACGGGCGAGTGTGTATACGCGATGGAGGCGGAAGGACGGTAGATGAGTCGTTTCTTGTATTTCATAATTTTTTAATTTTTATTTTTGTTGCCCCTGGCTAGAGAACATTTCTAGATGACATTCCCCTTTCTCAGTTATATGGTACTACTAGATGCTCATAGATATTACGCATTAAATCGTTTAATTGTTTCATTTCTCTATGACCAGTTTTGCTAATATCACCAATTCGTGAATTTGGGTACGAAGAAACAATACGATACCACGGCTAATGGTACATGACTAATGACATGATCAAAATTCTTTTTCCAACCTCCAACCACCCCCCGGCCTGACCAAGCTCACAATCTGCGATACCTCGGTTCCAAGACAACGCCGCAAAGAACACGATACCGCGGACGCCGTAGGCGTTAACACGCCAGGGGATAACGCAACGAACTCCGTACGACCGTGATATCCATTACAACTACATAAGAAAACGGAGACCGAGGAAAGTTTACATCACGTGACCGATCTCGGTGGAGGGAGGGGGCCACGAACCATTTCTACCCAGCAAGCCCCAGGGATGGTCGATGCAATCCATTCCTCGCAGTTAATGACTAAAATCTACCTTGGCGTGATCGCGAATTAACGCCCTGAGGTTCAGAGAAGATTCGCGTTTGGATTACTCTGTTTTAGACAGCCAGTAGGCATCGGCTGGGTGATGCTTAGCCAAAAATCCAGACCGACAATCGATTATACCGAGCATAGGTATGGACCAAACGTCCCGAGAATTGCTCAAAGGAAAGGAAAGCAATAAAATAAAAATAAAAAACAACAAGTACTCCCTGCGAGGGTCGAACTCGCAACCTCCAGATTAGAAGTCTGGCGCGCTATCCATTGCGCCAAGGGAGCGCATAACACTTGAAATATTACTATATTATAGTAATATATTTACCCCTCTTGAGGTAATTTTCAAAGACCCTTCCGGAACGAGAAGCATGGCCGCCAGAACGGGGTAAAGGGAGCAAAGAGTCGCCGCTTGTTGTTTGGGGAAGCTCTAGTTTTTTTTAGTCAGGACGCAAACGGGCCAGTAAAGATCGGAAATTGGTCCTGGACGTGTTGGATAGTTGTGACGTTATGAATGTCACCTACTTTGTTGTTAGAAGCCATGGTGGATATATATGGTGGTTGAATCAACGCGCAATAGATTTCTATTCTTGTCAATGTACACGAAGTTGACAGTCGAAGAATAACGATTGTCACCAATACTTCATCCGTGCAACCTGGTACCAGGGCCTGTGGTGTACATGATGTTCCAGTGTACGGTTTATTCCCACGCAATCCGGCCGTGGTGAGCGGCGATAGTTTTTATCTGGGATAGCACTGGACCCGATAAGTTTGTTTGTCACCACAGCTTGCCAATAGAGAGGTCTGTGGACTTGCTGATCTTACGTCGTTTTGGCACGGCGGAATTGTTCCTGGAGGACCCATGGCTTTATCCCGGCGTCGCCTTACAATGCGAAGCTCTGGCGTGCCTTCGCCTATGGTTCTCGGCCTTCACCGGCGAGGACGCCAGATATTTTACTGTCCTCATGAGTTTTCCCGTCTTCGCCATTGTGTGTTGAAAAACCGATCATAATTACATCTTCCGAAGGTTTCGAGGACAGGACAAAGGAGTTCCCTGTCCACGAGGCCCAAATCCTAAGTTTCTTTGACAGTGCCATGAATGGCTGTACCACCCTGTTTACTGAATATCAAGCGCCCATAACTAGCAGTTATTGCCGATTCACGCGAGACCTGTGATCTCCAAGTTAAGCAATCCTCCTTACACATCCCAAATAAATTTTACCGAAACGACCACATACCTACGCATGATATCGCCTGTGTTGGGCGTCGTTGCTATCGACGAATACGAGTTGTTACAGTGGATATTGATAGTTCCAGCTGCACGGTTCATCGGCCGAGGATATGGCTTCCGTCTCTTATTGGTCATCTGTCCGCACCATCGATCGGACTCACTCGTCGACTGCCAGGTTGGCGTAGTCGACCGAATTGTCTGCATGGGCTTCGTTATCTGCGTCCTCTGATTTGACAAGTTGGCGCTGTAATGTCTGTACGAGGTCATCATGGTCGTTTGTGTTTTCCAATGTGGCAGTTGTGGAACAGGTTTCAAGGGAAAACAGTTAAGGGGTTGGACATATTTGTCTCTGACGATGGATATGCTCAAAATGAACCAGGCGCTCTCGAATTGGAGTTACGCGTCAAGCGCCGGGCGTCGGACGTCAGGGTAGCAAAGACGCCTGCGGCGCGTGGCGCGTGATCGGGTATGAGATGACAAAGCCGGGTGTCCGACCTCCGCTCGCCAAAGTTTGCTTCTGACGTTCCGTCTCCAGGCTGCTCGAACAGAGGGCACATGTCCATTTTTGGGATGTGATAAGATATGGCCGATTGGTCAGCTTATCTCGCTCATTATCTGAACATGATATTTTAGTAAAAGAAGCGACATTATCGCCTGTAGTCTTTTTTTTT